CGAACTGGTTGGTTCGACTTTTAAGAAATTCGAGTTCTAATGAGTTTGAAAACTGAGGTACCACTGTATAGGGAATAAGACTGGTACTTCTAATTAGACTAGCTCTCATTGCTTCTTTGTTGTTTTTAATTTGACAGCTATGCCTTTCAAGTTATATGACATTATAGAAACTAATTCAGCACTATACCTGGGGTTATGATTGCAAATTTTAAAAAGATTTTGAAGTTTATTTTGAAAGCATTAATTTAAAGATATACAGGTATGTACCTAGTTAACTCTTATTAAACAAAATTATGCCCACAATTTGAATGTTAGCTTGGAATGTACAAACAGATTGATATAAACTCTTAAGCCCATCATGCTGTACTGCTGCTTTTGCCCTTTCACCAACATCGCTGTTTTCTGTGTTACCTTATTACCTTACATTTAATAACTAAGCCCAGGCTCCTAACTCTAGTGAAGAATAGCCAGTACAGAGTGACTGTACCCTTGCCCCAGGCATAATAGGGCCCATAATTCATACAGATTGACGGTTTTATCATTAGCCAATGATATGTTTTGAATTGGCAAATGACAGGGGTGGGGGCAGTGCAGGGGCCAATCAACTCTCAGCTGGGGCCAGTGCCCCTGTGGCCCCGCCCCCATATAATCTGGCTTTCCGTTCCTCACCTTGCAGCTTGCGCCGGTGGAAGCGAGGCGACCCCAGCAGGTTGTTTTTAAAGGAGTTGAGGCGGGTCCTCCAGTGGGCGGAGCTACTGGCCGCCATGCCGCCGCCACCTCCAGGACTGGATGGTGGGGTCAGGGAGAGGGAGCCGACTCCCACCCCTCCACCCTCCGCCCGTGAAGAAGAAGAGGAAGAAGAAGAAGAGGGAGGGGTAGGAGAGGGGTGCTGGGGGTGGTGGACGGGGGTACCAAGTGGGGTGGGGAGTGGAGAGCCCTGGGGGGTGACCTGCGGCAGAGTGTTAGGATGGGGAGAGTTAGGATAGATGCTCTTGGTGACAGACTTAAGAACAGAAGGAGCAGGGAAAAAGAAAAAGCGTGGGGAAAGGAGAGGAGAAGGAGATGGAGAAGGCGATGGAGGCGTGTGGAGCTGGAGGGATTTCATGGACTGGAGGTGGGGGCGATCCGAGGAGGCTTTGGATGGCAGAGTTTGGGTTTTTTGATCAGGAGTTCGCTGTGATGAGCGAGCTGCTGGGGAGCTTCCGGCTTTTGGCTCCTTTGATTGGATGGTGTTGGCGGAAGTGACTTCTGATTGGTTGAAAGTGAAGACTGGGCTCTGACACAGTGGAGAAGGAGGGGAAACAGGGATGGGGAAGACACAGAAGAATGGAAAGACGAATGGAGATGAAATATGTCATGGGATATGTGAATTGTGACTCTTAAGGCTAAATTAATTGGCAATTATAAAAAGTAAGCATGCATAACATATTTTGGTAATACACTGCAAAGTCCTCCGTACAAATAAATTGCTTGTGTACTCCTTGCAAACCAATGACACAAACCCTGAAGGGCTTTCTGTTGCTGGGGATGTTTATATTGCAGTACAGTGCTAAGATAATTGCGAAAGTGTATTAGTCTTTGATAAAAGGACTGAATGTGGGGTTCACTTTGCCTAAAGAAAATTCAGATAATCCATATTTCATTATTGATACAATGATGCACCCAGCAATTCCACATATGTATGTTCTAGTCTAGAAAACGCAGAATTGCTATGAAGCATTTTATACCAAACTTGGTTAGAATTGTCTAGTATCCTAAAAATATCACACAGGAGGCAGCAGAAACCAGAAAATGGAAGGACATGAAACTGGAAAGAAAGATTTGCAGTATGGTATGTAAAATGGCTCAGAATGGAATATCATGTGTGCAATGCACATTTACAATAAGTTTTACGTTTGCAAAGTAAAGCTATTAATAAAATGCTACTAATAAAATTACATGCATGCATTATATTCAATAGTTAGTCATAATGGGATAAAAAGGACAACATTCTGCTAATTCCACTCCCGTGTGCATGTGCAACAAAGCCCAGATGTTTTACTAATGCAACATGGCATTAAAGGTCTTTGAAGGTGGGGAATCACTTACCCTGGGACTGCTCAGGGGACTTGAGGACAGTCCCGTAGAGGCTCCGCTGACCGACCGGGACCTGAATCAGAAGGGGGGGGGGCTGTCTAAGGCACAGTCTGTTTGATGTCATTTCCTGCACTGTCACAGCAGTAAGGGTGTTAGCATCTGCTTTATATTCACCTAAACATGCCACAGTGTGCTGACAGCTTTAATCCCTTTACATGAACTCCTCTCTGCAAGAATCACACTGCTTTTGTGATCAGACATAAGGGAAGATAAAGACACAACAGCAGAGCTCTAGTTGTCAAGAGATGCCCCATCTGACTTTTACTGCTCCTGGGCAAGTATGTCAGAAAAATTTATCAGAACTGAAAATAAGTCATTCATTTCAGTTCAATTCATTTTTATATAGCGCCTTTCACAACCCAGTCGCCCCAAGTCACTTGAAAAGAGTGTGTCGCAGTAACTACCTCTCTGCTGTCTGATTTTCCTGAAGCTCTATTAAGATAAAAGATCACTTCTTCACATTGTGTAGCACATGCCACCAAATCACAAATCGTTCATCCTCCCTTAAGTCTGCAGGTCACTGAGCGGTCGGCGCCCTGAAAGCATGTGGCCCATCCCAGCCTGCCCATTCCTCCCATGCCCCTGCAGAGGGAGTTGACCTCTGGCTGTGCCCCACCCCTTCCTGTCCTGCCCCTTCCTCTCACACCCCACTCTGCCACGCCTCTTCCTCCTGTGCCCCTGCAGAGGGAGCTGACCTCTGGCTGTGCCCCACCCCTTCCTGTCCCGCCCCTTCCTCTCACACCCCACTCTGCCATGCCTCTTCCTCCTGTGCCCCTGCAGAGGGAGCTGACCTCTGGCTGTGCCCCACCCCTTCCTGTCCCGCCCCTTCCTCTCACACCCCACTCTGCCATGCCTCTTCCTCCTGTGCCCCTGCAGAGGGAGCTGACCTCTGGCTGTGCGCTGCCGTGTCCAGCGCTCGGCGTGGTGGGGTCGGGGAGCCCTGCTCCGTTACGCTTAGCACCTCCAGACTCTTCCTCTCAGGTCGGGAGCGGCCGTGCCTGGTCAGCATCGGGGAGTCCACTCGCTTCCTGGGCGGGTCTGACAGGAACGGCAAAATGGCCGGAATCATGCTCCACACCCACAGGACGCTAACAGCTAACAAGCTATCAGCTTTTGTGCTGGATCTACCAAGCTACAGTCCTTCTATTGATTAAAAAAATAAATAAATAAATTTTAAACTTATACATAAACTACAGATTCAATATAAACATACCACAGGAAAAAGAAACTTAGTGAATCCTTGTAAAACATTTATTAATGTTTGGAAGCACGGTAATTAGCGGCATGCTATCAGTTAGGTGCAACCAGGTTCTCTCAGTAGGTAGCCATAGTGTCCAATACTGACAGACTGACGATTTTCTGCAGCCTAACAATCGGGCTGCAGCTAATGGAAAGGGTGGCATGGAAACTCACTCTTTTCATGATTCAGAGGTGAAGCATACAAAGGTACGTACCAATGTCATTCCTGGGTGGCAGGTCTTCATCCTCACAACTAGGATACCGCTCTTTTCGGTCAAGGAGGAGGTAATAGATCATCTTCTCCTGATTTTCTCTGGGAAAGAGAGAGGGAATGTCTTGGTATTGCCTACTTTCTTTCAGCGCTTATGTTTCAAGTAGAAAATACAAGGTTGCTACTCTCTCGCCCACTTCCTTCCTGCCCCCACTAGTAAGGGCAATAAATTTAGAGAAAGGGCAGGATGGGGAACTGGCGGAGTAGCATCTGAGGCCCAAACACAGCCTTGCTGTAATACAAGGCAGCCATTTTTAAAAAATGAATTAAACACACTGATCAGCACACGGGGAACTGGCAGGGGGGGCTGACTCACTCCTCACACTGCAGGTCTCGTGCGAGCTTCACTCGGTCCCTGAAGCATCCCAGCGAGTGCATGCTGTCCAGCACATCAGGGTCCAGCTCGGTGAGGGACAGGATGCGGTGCACACAGACCCGCCTGGGGGGAGGCTGCTCCGGGCAGGGTTCGTTCCGACCCCCCCTGGCAGAGAGAGAGGGCCAGACTGTTGGGCGAGAACTGACCCTATCAGCACTGTCGCTTACCCACACCTGCCTATTTTTTATGCTTTTGTTTTTGGAAAACCACATAAACTAAATGAAATAAGATCTTTACTTACAGATACCAGGCGTGTTTTTGTATTGCTTCTAGCTGTAAGGAAAGAGGACAGATGGAGAGATTTATATAGCCTGTACTCGCACGTGGGAAGTTAATGACGCGAGTACGTGCGGCAGTACGCCGTGTATCTTATCACGGCCACAAGCCACATACATTCTAATTATACATACATTTGTCCACTTGTATTTGTCTGTATCAGGTTGGTCAGTGCACAAGAGAGGATGAGAGTGAATGTATCTATCTGTGACTGAGTCACTCATTTAATAATGAGTGGGGGAGGAGTAAAGTCCCAGTTTAAAAATAAACTAAGTGTAAGTACTGGAGATGGTGAGAGTCATTGTGTGTGGCAATGTCCTGCCTTGGCTCTCTGCCAGCTTTCCCCACAGCGCCCCCTTCAGACCCGCAGCGGCGGCTTGCACTCTCACCGTGAGCCTCTTCTCTGGGTTGACCTCGATCATCCCCCTGAGCAGGGACTGGCAGTCAGGAGGGATGAAGTGGGGCATGTGGAAGACCCCGCTCTTCACTTTCTCCAGCAGCTGCCGTAGGTTGTCGTGGTCGAAGGGCAAGGCGCCCTGCGGGTGGTGCCGGGGAACAGTGAAAAGAGGCAGATGGGGTTGGGGGAGAGCGGTGAGTAAGGGATAGTGCCGTGGAAGGGGCAGGGGGTCACAACAGTTGGAAATGGGGGAGGGAATGGCATAGGTGTCAGGGATTAACACGAAAGCAAGAATGGCAGATAGCTGGCATACAGAATGTAAGAGAATACCAAAGAAGAGAGAAGAGACACACAGAGACAGCTGGGCTTGCTGGGACTAGCACACTCTCCCCTGATAGATGGATAAAAGAGAAAAACCACATCGGTGAGTTCTCTAATCCACCCCCACGCCACTGTCAACATTTTATTTCTCTTTTCTCAAACATACAGATTATCCCGGGTACCCTGCCGTCAGGTTACTATGTGTACTTAAAAACAAACACGTCATTTATGAGAAGAAGAAAGAGACAAACGAGGGATTAATATTAAAAAAAAAACATCAGAAGAAGTGACACAGGTAGATGGAGACGGGAGGAAGGAGGATGCTGCAGGTTACTCACCACGAGGAGTGCGAACAGGATGACGCCACAGCTCCAGACGTCCGCCCGCCTGCCATCGTACTTCTCGCCCTGAGGGGAGGAGAGCGCTGCAAACTCTGCACCACATACCGCCAAAAATATCGCAGCTTGCAGCGCCGCGAAATGACTAACTCGCCGAGTCCAATCGACTTGCATGGATTCACTAGCTAAAAACAATATTCTAAAGGCAGAATATACTTATTTACTAATTCCGAGATAAATCTCTGCTAATAGCTTTGGATAACGTCATTCTCACAATACATCAGCCGCAGACAATTTAGCGTCACGCTTCTGCCTCAAATGTGCCACACACGGCACGGTGCCTCCACCCTGAAGCAGTTTGTACGCAAATTAGCAGACGAATGAGCACAGCGGCATTACATCATGCTCACGCATATTCTCCTATTCTCCCAAATTACCTGTAAAATTTCAGATGGCAAAAATGCACTAAAGCCTTATTTCATTCACTTGAAACACAATAATAGCCTGAACATGTCATTAACAAAAAAAAATTTAAATACTTACTCGGATAACTTCTGGACAGGCATAATGTGGGGATCTGAAATTATTGAGAATACAAGAATATGGAAGTATGAATTATTTTTATTAAACTTAAATATATAAATGCATATCTTGTATAAATTTTTATTCAAGCCAAACTGCACCCTTCATCCTGAGGCATATTCAAGGTGACATAATTACAAGAACCATCAACTGTAACAAATTATTTTTCTAAAGGAACAAATAACAATTGAAACAATTAACGTTCAGCATAATGCATGTCATTTTAGTAGAATATTCTATGGGGCTGCTCCGCTAACAGAGAGCAGAGAAACAGGCCAGTCTGCGTACACACACAGCACTCACCCACAGCTCGTCTCCAGCAGGCTGTCTCCCACCTGCAGGGAGGCCATACCGAAGTCAGCAATCCGGATGTTGTTCTTCTCATCCAGCAGCAGGTTCTCGGGCTTCAGGTCTCTGTGGCTGCGGAAGGTGAAGCAGGGACAGCGTCACAAGGGAGATCAGAGTGGGTTACAAGGGAGATCAGAGCAAAGCACATCACGGGGGAGATCAAAGCGTGTTACAAGGGAGATCAGAGCAGAGTGCGTCACGCGGGACATCAGAGCAGAGCATGTCACGGGGGATATCAGAGCAGAGCGTGTCACGGGGGATATCAGAGCAGAGCGCGTCACGGGGGATATCAGAGCAGAGCACGTCACGGGAGATATCAGAGCAGAGTGCGTCACGGGAGACATCAGAGCAGAGCGTCACGGGGGATATCAGAGCAGAGTGCGTCACGGGGGATATCAGAGCAGAGCGCCTCATGGGGGAGATCAGTGCAGAGCACGTCACTGGGGAGATCAGTGCAGAGCACGGCACTGGGGAGATCAGTGCAGAGCGCATTATAGGGGAGATCAGAACAAAGCACATCATGGAACATGTCACAAAAAATGTCATGTAACAGTTGAGTAGACAATGTTTACTTCCTCTGAGATTTTGGTAAAATCCAAAATTGGCACCCTGGAACTGAAATAATGCCCTTTGACACTAATTTAGATTTTATATATTTAGTACACATTAGTATCTTTAGCAAACTGTGAACACTTGGATGTATTGAAACCCTTCTGGCTATTCTTCATAACTGTAAGCAGGAAAAACACAGAATATCTTTTCAGTCTTACATGGAGTCAGGAAAACAGTGTACCTCTACACAGTGTAGTGGAAAGTGGAGGAAGTGTTATTAAACCAGTCCAGTGGGCATCTGTGTTTATCCTGCACCATGCTGTGCCTGGAGACCCATCTTACCAGATGGAGTGACTGTGACAAAAGTCCAGAGCTGAAATGATCTGCCTGAAGAACTTGCGGGCCTCCTTAGGCGTCAGTCTGCCCTTCTTCACCAGATAGTCAAACAGCTCACCGCCCGACACGTGCTCCAGCACCAAGTACCTGGGAAAGAAACCGACCCAAGATCCGCAGGGGAAAACAGGGGAAGCTGTTCAATCTGAAGCTGATCATAAAGAGCGGCAGTAGGCCTAACTGTTTTCAGACATACAGGTAACTCTCGACTGATGCAAGTAATCCATTCCACAAACTCTTATGCAAGTCAAATTTTACATCCGATTTACCTTCCCATACTATTCAAGAGACCTTACAGAAAAAAACATACGAGCTAAAAATATGTATACCGCTAATACAGTGCTCTGCATAAATGAGTATACCCCCTTTGAAAACTAATTTTTTATGCATTACTCAGTGAACACCAGAAAAATTATTTCATTACTAACATCATTAGGATAAGAAAATAATACTTTTCTTCAAATGAGGTGTTGCAAAAATGAATATACTCAAGAACAAATTCCACAAAATCTAATATCCCACCAACTCTTCTGGACATTGAATGATCAAGTTGGCAACATACTGCCATGTCTATCGTTGAGAGCCTGGATGCTGGATGGAGAATGATGCTCAACCTGCCATCTCAGAGTTCCCCACAGATGTTCTATTGGGTTCAGATCAGCTGACATCCTTAGCAACTGAATCACTTTCAGAAATGTATAAGTGGCCTTGGATGTATGTTTTGGGTCAATATCATGCTGCCCAGTGACCCAGGGCGCAGAGAGATGGTAGCATATTTTCTTTCAGTATTTCACAGTATATCTGTGAATTCTGGATGTCATCAATGAACTGCAATTCCCTGACAACTGCAGCACTCATACAACCCCACGGAAGAACACTGCCATCACCATGTTTCACTGTAGGCACCATGCATTTTTCATTTTTATTTTGCTACTGACAAATCTCATTTGCAATCAATAAACCAGATTTTTCTGGAATATTTTATGATACAGGATCCCATAGAAAGTATTAATCCTGAAGAGAGATAGATGATTTTCTGAGAAATATTTTGGGGTGTACTCATGTATGCTGAACACTATGTATTAAAGCAGGGTTGCAAAACCACTGGTCAATGGTCCCCTGGCTGACAAAATACATTGAGGGGGACCTTCCCCCTCGTCAGTGAAATTTGGCGACCCCCTCCTGCCCCCAACATGATAAACGATAAAAAGCTGGCCTTTGTGGTTGGAAGTGTTGAGTAACCATGAACTAAAAACATGACTAAAAAAATAGATTGTCAATTTACTCACTGGTGCTTGTCACTTTTTTACGTTCATGCTTTATAAACTTTTTGTAGTGCAGATTCTTTTTAAGTTTGTATTTACTCAAGTCGATTTTAGTCAAGAGCTGCCAGTACAGAAAATTCTACTGCCGCCAAATTACTACATGGCAAACATATCCTGATTCTGAAGTCACTGCTAAAATTCAACCTGGTAGCATCTATGCCTGCGACAGCAAGAATGAGCAGCAAAATTACTAACAGAAATTTTACTAATAATCTATGAGAATAATATCTCTATAAATGCAAACATTTAAACAATGTAAACAATTAAGCATTATAAAATTAGCAGTACATAGAGAGACATTAAAAGAAAAAAAAATGATGAGTAGTAAAAGGGTAGAAATGCAAAATGTTCAGAAGGCAAACTGAAAAATATTTCAAATTCAGAAATTCTCACTGACTGGTATAATCACAGATCGTTGCTGTGCTAATCACAGCTAATTATCTGTTCAGTGCTCACACACTGCAACAGCTGAACATACTTACAGATATTTGTTATTCTCGTATACGTCATGCAGCTTCAGCACATGCGGATGTTCTATCAGTTTCAGAATAGCGATCTCTCTCTCCACCTTAATGGGAAAAAAACCATAAGGCCAAGGACATACTGATTTCTCTTGTCTTCCCATTAATGCACTTTAAGTCAATACCACTACTATCATGGGTTTCTTACCTACCAATATTAGCAGACTAGTATATTCTGTTACTCAGTGTTAAGTATTGCAATTCTTAATGTCATACTTACAAGCCTAGACCTCAACTGAGGCAATAAAATGTGATATTGGACTTACTCCCAAAACTTCCCCTAGTCTACTAATGTTTGCAATAAGATACATACTCAAAATCCCCATTTGGGAGTAACAATGATTAACCAAGGTTTTATACCAGCAACTCTCATCTTCCTTTGAGATAACATTGCTTGACATAAAACTCAGACCCCTAAAACTAGATTTCACCCAATGTAATAACAATGATCATTCACCTTGGATGGAAAGTAAGCACCCTAGATTTCACCCGAGGTAACAGTGTTTGACCAAAGATCGAGACCGCTAACCCTTGCTTTAGCATGAGGTTTCATGTGATATGCGTTCCATTAGGCAAATGGTCAGCCTGCTGTCCTGCGGGCCATCTGTTCGTTATAAAGACACCCTGCCAATGGAGGGATACATCCCAAAAAGGTAGCCTGCAGAGAAGACCGCTATTACCAGGCTGCGCTAATGCTGGGCCAACCGTGGACCCATTCCATCCAATTCGGGAATGCGGGATTTTCCACTCCGGTTGCGAATGAAAATAAAATGACACACTGTACCACAGGTCAAAAGCGCTCGGCGGCCACACGAATGGAAGTGACGCTGTTTGTTCTTCCTGTTTTGGTAACCCATCTGGCCCTGCGGCCATGTTTTCCTGCTTCTATCGTTGTCCGAGCAGAGGCTCTACCTGCCACGCACGGTCTATTTAATTCCCTACTTATATCACCAAAAGCAAGGAACTGTGTTCACTGAAAATTATTGTGAATTTATGAGAAGATGAACAGTTGTTTCCTCTGTTACAACAGTACTATAGAGTAGCAACATTTCTTCCAATCTTTAACTGCACAAAACCTTATCCTCATGTGTATGAAGAAATATATTTTCTCAGCTTAATTTAGTATATTTTAAAATTAGCCAAATGTCCATGTTAATTAAATGTGCTGCAGGGAACTATTTTGTTTATTTTTGTTGTTTATTTGTCACATTCTGATCAATACTGAAAAGTCTTTGACTTGGGATTCAGTGCAACAACCTAATGATTGCAGTATTAATGTTACTGTTTAAGTATATAATCTAGGGGTCACATTCATGTATGATAAACATGATGAGCACATTTCATGAGACCTATGATAAAATTGTTTTAACTGTAGAACTGTTTAAAGGTATTATTAGCATTGCAACAGAAACTTATACTACAACAACCTACTGTAAATGGAAGAGATGACTGTATTGGAGATATCAGCTGTTAGTAATATTATTTAAGTCAGAGGGACAAAAAATGCAAATAGTAGAAGCAAAACTGGCAAAATCTAAACACAGAATTATTTAGATTACAAATATTTTTATACAATAAGCCAAAAACTCTGACCCACATACAGTCCAAAAGCCATGAGCCTGCACAGAGTTTTCTGTTTCGTTCTGGTTCAGGAAAGTTTCAGCTTATGATCTCAAAATACAAAATAGCATAACTTGAGTGTGACCAAAAATTCAAATTATTCTCAGAACAATTCATCCAGCCTTGCATTCATCACTCAGCTTATGTGATACAGGGTCACAATGGTAATTATTCAATTTCAGTTCATATAATGTTAATTCTTTCTCATTTTACCAAAAAAGAAAAGAAAAGCATACACAAGAGAAAAGTACAATACTGAATACACAGCTCAGGCTATTGGGCTTACTAGGAAACATACTCCCAAAAACCACTCTCAATCACAAAGCAACTCACAACAGCAGCTACACCCACCTGAAAAAGTTGTGCCCACAAGTTATTTTACATCATTGCTATGTTAAAGTCCACGCAGACTGGCAATCAACCTGCGTCTGAGTAGCTGCCATTACATAAGTCAGCCCTCTCACCTTCATCAGCACTGACTCCGATAACTTCTCTCTGTTCACTATTTTTATTGCAACCTTTTGTCCGGTAATACAGTGAACTCCCAGCTTCACCAAACCTGTAAAACAAAAAAGTTAAAAGCCAAAGTTGTAAAATGGTGTGTTGGAGGAAGAGATAGCAAACAGGATTTTTTTTTTTATTTAAAGCAGTTTAAGTTTAGTAAACCATTGTAGCAAATTCTTATAGTGTTATATACGAAACACTAAAAAAGTTAAAATTGGTAACCTGGGTTACGGAAAGATTAAAATAATACATTCATTGTGTCATCTCTGATCTAGCTGGCTACACATTCTTTGCCTAAACTACAGACTTAATAGAGAGAATAGGAGTGAATAGTTACACTGTCCCTGACTCATCACCGTGTACCCCAAACACATGGCAAAGTAACATCGTCACTGAAAAGCAGCAATTAAACGACCGAGGAAGCAGCTTTCGATGTTAATTTCCTTCTTGTAAAAAAATGTAATGGTGTAGCTGTATAAAACTTGAAGATCAGCTTGTTTGCATTATGTCCGTGGACAGATGCATAGCGTAAACGAGCATCAGGACGCCCATCACGCATTATAAAAACCCCAGCGTGGATGCAACTGGAGCACACTGACATACACATGCACACCCTGACACAACAATAACGTCAATAAAATGCCAGCAGGCCAGCCGGAACCCCTCAATAAGCTGTTAAAATACAGGAAACGCTGTCAACCCGTAAATGGCTGCAAACTGTCAATACAGCAAATGTATAGAGTATGATATCAGCTGAAAAACACACTGCCGACCACGTTATTTCTCTGACCGTTAATAGGTTTTATACAAAAAACATGAATCTATATTCCGTTGAACTGTTCAAAAACACGGCAATTGGCATATAAAAGACACTGCCCTAAATCTACCCTGTTACTTTCAGATCTTTGTCATATTTAGTATAATTCAATAGTATAGATACAGTTATATGAAGTGAATTTAAATGCTTCTTACCTGTCTGTCCTTTCCCCAGCGTTTTCTCCAGTCGGTAAGGCCCGACATACTGAGCCGAGTGACTCCCAGACTGGTCTTTACTGGACATGCTGTTCGTCTACGTTTCACAGTAAATAATGACAATTTTTTAAAAATCGTGATTAAAAGGTTTTTAAGACTGATGTGTAAAAGGCCCTCGCCTGCTTGTGCAAAGGCATTACAAATGAAAATGTACAGTGAGGGACGGGGGAGCTTGTAACAGTGTCCCGTGGCCTACTCCTCACTTTCTCTTATTTAATATTGCAGTCATCCCGAAAAAAACCGTTACCGCCTATACTGTGCAGTTAGGAGAGAGGGTATGCTTCGGTTGTAGCAAAATATGAGTACATTGTTGTTTTGGTAATTATGGAGTAACGAGGGGTTATGGGAACAGGAATGATATAGAAGCAAGCGACGTGAAGGGTAGAGGTTTCAACGTAAACTTAAGAGAATTAAAATGTCTATATAAGAGACAGTGATGGCGTTAGTAACAATTGTGCCTAAATTTATATAGGCTATATAGCAATCGCGGATTATTAATTTTCTGCTCGCAATTATTAATCTTATGCCTGCGTGCCCGTCCGCACTTGCACATCGCATTTATCAGCCTTCCAGCCCTCTCCCTTCTCGCCACCTATTTTCTCTGCCCTGCTCTTTATCTCACTGAATATCGCTTTCCATAGCTTAATTAACGTCTAATCCAACATATTTACAGGTAAATATTTGATACCATGCAATCGAAGCACACCGGGTTATATAACAGTCAGAGATCTGGAATTTTCTTCATTTTAATCAACAAAACAACTACACTGTCCGCATCCCCTCTAGTCTGGCATGTTAAAGCACGGCTATCAATATATGTCAATATTTTACTGCTGGGAGGTTGCTATCCGATGCAAAGCAATGCAGTTCTTTAACTAGGCCCAGCTTTGTTGGTTTTGAAGCGGAAAAACGCATTTCTAGTAAAACAAGCATCTTCGGCGTAGTACTCTCCCCCTCCCTCTCTCGCTTGCTCACTATCCCCCTCCCTTCTCTACCAGGGCGCATATCACAGCATCTTCCCTCTCTCTGTTCCTCCTCGTTTGCCGGTCCCAGTTTCATTCATTCAGCGATTTCCTTTAAAAAACATACAGTTTCTTGGCGATCTTCTAAAAATACTAAGGTCCTTGGGAGCGAAGGCCTCCTCCCTTAATATCTCTTTCTTCCCGTAAATCGCTCTTTTCTGTCTCCTCTTCCTTCCCCTCATCCGACACGAGCAGCATCAGCATCCGGGTCCCACTCCCTCACCATCCTCCCAGTCCCCTCCCTCTCCCTTTTTCTCAAAATACGCTTGTCTCTGCGAGAGCCTCTGTCATCTTAATGATTAAAACAATCAAATCTCGCCAATTACTGCTTTCCCTGCTGATTTTCCGACGAATCAGAATCAGACTGATTCAGACCGAGAGGCCGAAGATACAGTTTGTTGTTAATTTAGCATTATTCCCGGTCGCTGCTCGTGTATGTCAGTTTATTAAACAATAAAATAATAAATATAATACACGCGAAAAACTAAATTAAGATTTATTTCCTATATATATATTTAATTTTTCAGACATAATAGGTTTATATAATATGTTTAATGTCTAATATGTTTTTCTTTTCTTTTCAAACGTGTAAAAATTGTTTGGAGAAGATTCTTTGTCACAAGTAGACTAATATCTGTGCATACATTCAAAACTAAATTAAATTTAATTGCATAGGACCAACGCAACATTTATAAACATTTTGTTTGGCTGAGGGTCCTAATGAGCAAGTCTATTACTGAAAATATGGGGCACAGGGACTCACCCTGTATGGCATGCCAATCCATCATATTTACAGGGCACCCTTCAAAAAATAGAATTGACAGCTATTGAATAGTTTGTAAGCAATAATCTGCTTGCCTTTCTGTATAACATTTCATGACGTATTGGTTAAAGCCAAAAATTAATAAGCTGACATTTGGATTACCAGAGAGGTCATGATTTTTGCACCTAGACTGAGTTTCCTCTGTGGGGCAGTGAGTGGGGATGCTGTGCCTGTGATTGAATGGTCATCCTGGGTTCAAATCCCAGGGCTAACGCAGTGATCTGACTCTTGGGTCCATGAACAACGGTCTTAACTCCAGGGACTGCCTGACCCTGCATTCTCAAAATGAAGGTTGCTTTAGATAAAAGCATCTACTAAATACATTAAAAATGTAAAATGACTTAATGGTGAGTAGTAGCAGAATATCCATTTTCCACCTGCTTATCCAGTACGGGATTGTGTGTGTGGGTCAGGTATACATTACATGGTGGGGACCAAATGTCCTCAAAATGTGATAGAAACCTGTTATTTTGCTGTTGTGGGACCAATTTTATTAATAGAAGTTCATTCAATTCAAGTACAATTTAACAAAAAATGCCATAAGACCTGTATTTTGTTTGATTACTTATGGTTAAGGTTAGGGTTGGGTAGGGGTTAAGGGTTAAGGTCATTGTTGAGATTAGGGTTTTGCCCATAGAAATGAATGGACGGTCCCCATAAAGTTTGTGTGTGTGTGTGTGTGTGTGTGTGTGTTGTCTAGGGCTGCTGGTAAGCAAAACAACTAAATGCAATTTAATTTTACAATGGGTCTTTCAAATTATGGATATTACTTAACTTGCTGTCCTCTTATGGTGAATATTATTGTACTGAGAAATACTATTATTACCATTTTAGATGTCACAATTTTGTTGATTTTGCAATAATTATGCAAATTTGACAGTTTAAGAGTTGATTGGCAAAGGTTTTAAATATTGATTGATTTTGCCTTTCCTTTTCGCAGATGCACTCCTGTGTGCTGGATGGCCCTCTTGAGCGAACCTTACAAATACAAGCCGAGTCGGCTCCTTTAGTGATCACCCACACATCCGTGACACGTGTTTTGCTGAAATCCAGATACAGCACATGAAAGTGTTTTCAGCAGTGGATTAAACCAGAGTGGCTGGGGTCACTTTTTAGGGGTTTCCCAGTTTGCAGACTGTGGAGTCCCAAATATTAATTTGAGGTGTGGATCATCTTACTTTGTTAGTGTCAGAATGTAAACAGGATCACACTGGTTTCTACAAGAAATAGTGTGAAAATGTAACTAAATTAATATAACTATTCTTAAATTTACCCTAATTCAGTCACTTCACTTCTGCTTTGGATATGGTTTTCTGTAACACCCACATATTCTCCCTGAAGGCACGGTTTCTCTTCCAATACCCTTTCTACCAAGCCAAATTTGAAAATATCCACTTATTAAATATCACAAAGCACATGGTGCTGGACTAACCCCTGTTGCCACAAATCAGCAGGAATGAGTATTTACATCATATTATTAAACAATTTCCCATGTTTTCCCACAAAGGTCAGTTAAAAAGATTAAGGAACACAGCTATGAGTAATTTCACTCAAGCACTTGAGCCCTTTTTAAACTCACATTAGATGGAGATTTAGAATTAATCTGAGCTTTAGCTGTTAAATGATGCCATTCAGGATGGATTACACACATTTAACAAGCTTCCTTTTTGTAGGAACGTCGGTGAATGAAATACTAGGCATTTGATTAAAAAGATTAAAATGTAGCATATTGTTACTAAAAACTACTTGTAATAGTTCACATAGTTTACAAGTTGCAAGCACCTCCATGTTGTTTAAGAGATGTAATCTTAATTTTTGGATACTGCAGGCATCCCATGTGAAGCATTAATTTCTCACAAATGCAAAAAAATTTTCTTGTAAGCAAATTCCAGTTCTGAAAAAGCCATTGTCAGTCACCATATAGGTTTTATTGTAATCCTTTATGTATTTCACAATTATAGCCTAAGGTGTTTCCTAGCATGGTATGAAACCAATGCAACAAACTTTATTAAAATAAGGAGATTGAATAAAACATTTATACAGGACATTTCATCTTATGTAATTTCCACTTCCACAGAAACCAAGGGTGAATTATTCCAGTGCAGGAGGGATTGCAGAGGAAGCTGAGGACCTTTGAGAAAGAGAGACGTGTTACATTTTGATCATGATCATGGTCAACAATTAGCTCACATTATCAGATCTGGTTCTTATAAAGCAAAAGGATTCCCAGAGAAGGTGCAATCAGCCCCACTGCATTTAATCCAAATATAGTCATACATGCAGTGTAGTTAAAGTCCCATGGTGTCTTTATGAAGTTTATGACACTCTTATTGGTGAACATTTAAAGTGATGAGATTTCCATTTTGTGCCATGTCTGAGGCCTGTCAGGGTGAGCGTGCCTTAAAGCAATGTTTCCTAATCCAGTCCTTGGGACCCACAGTCAATCCATGATTTTTCTCCCTCCGAGCTGCCTGGTAAAGAGTCCACATTTCTGCTCCCTCACAGCTCCCTACCGGGAGGAAGCATGAACTTGGACTTTCTGTGGGTCCCCAAGGACCGGATTGGAAAACACTGCCTCAAAGACATACAAGCTTACGCCTCTTAGGGTTCTGCTCTCCTCTTCATGTACCCTCTGCTGTGGTCTTGAGGCAGGCCTGGAAGGCCTCCAACAGCTCCTTGCAGCCTTCCTCACCCTTCTCCTTCACACTGTGGAAGCAGAGGGTTAATATCACATTCAGTGTAAGGGGACCCTTCATTAGCACTGACCAAGCACACCACGTGCATTGACAGCAGATTGCAGAGAGGGAGATTATTCAAGGCACTGTGCATTCAAAACACAGAGGCAGGCCCTGACAGTATAAATCAGAGTGACGGAATATAT